GGCGACAGGGTCCGGCTGGTAGACTGGCCCCAGGCAGTGCTCTCTGGGGCGGAGGAGCTTGTCAGCGGTCTGTGGGGAAGTCATGCTCATTCAGCGAACACTGAGGGCCGGGGGGGAGCCCCGGGCAGCGGCCCACCCCAGGGCCACAGAACACTGTTGTGGTGAGCCTCAGAGCTGCGGTCAGCTGCAGCCCCCCCCACACTTCCTGTCCGTCCTCTGTCCTTACTCAGTCGGCTTTAAAACATAAATTCAATTTCACACAGGAATAATTCATGAGTTGGAATTAGTTTTTGTCATTCAAATACAATGCCAATGTTATCTGTAACAATAACTGTTACATGTCGAAAAATGTAATCAGTAACCTCATGTGAGTATCACAATATTAAAATAATGTATCCTGATTACTTTATGCCACTTTTTATTACCTCAATATCAAGTGCAAGGCAAATAAAAACAAGAGAAAATAATAGTAAGATGTTTTTGACTTCAGTGCATGTAACAATGTGACCTAAATGTGTGATATTTCATATCGTAACAGTAGACTTTACACATGCTGTTAAATCAGAAGCATAGACTGTATTCGTGTTTATTAAATCAGGTGTTCCCGTACTGCATACAATTAAATGTATTTTTAAAAATAAAGAAGAATTAAAGCAGCCTAAATATAAACCATAAAGAAAATGTCATTCAGACTAATAATCTATCCTTTTTTAAAACGTTACAGTAATCTGATTACTTATTTCATAAAATGTAATTGTAATGGAATGAAGTTCAATTTATTTTGTATCCTGATTACATAATCTCGTTACCTATAATAATAATAATAATACATTACATTTATAAAGCACTTTTCCTGGTGCTCAAAGCGCTTAAATAATAATAATAATAATTGTATATAATACTATTTAATAATAATCCGTTACCCCCCAAGCCTGTGTTTAGCATGCCATGTTTTGTTCCCACACTAAGCCAGTGAAAGGAATAACTGTCACTATTCACAGGTCTTATGGGAGTCGGAATAATGTAAGATAATAGGAAGTGTAAACGGCTCATTGATGAAGATGAAGATGATTATGAATACCAAATGTAATGTATTCTATGGAGATGTGCAGGTGATGAGCATAATGACATCGCTCACCACGAGAGAAACAACTGTTAATAAACGTCATGCTATGTGAGGATTCATCTGGGGGGCAGCAGAGCGTCCTGGTGCTTCCTGTGTCAGGAGGCCGACTTCCTGCTGAAGCGTGTCCTTCAGGAAGAGGCTGAAGCCCTCTGAAGCACTGAAACACTTTCTGAGGAGAGATGCAGGATTCTAGTCTGAGAATGATGAAAATGATCCTTGTTCACCAGAGCTGGAGGAAGTACTTAGATTCTTTACTGAGGTAAAGTAGAAATAATTTGGTCTGAAAATACTTTATTCCAAGTCCTGAATTCAAAATGTAGAATATAAATATTGCCAGCTAAATCTACGTAAAGCATTAAAAGTAAAAGTAACTATTATGCACCATGGCTGTTTTGAAAGTATTATGTTATTATGGAATATTACATGATTCCTTCTTTGATTGCTTACAAAAACATGTATGAACATTTACATTTTGCAGTTTGTTAATATTGACAATTCTAGTTTTTGTTTTTATATATATATATATATATATTGGTAGTAACTTAGTAGTAAATTGGTAGCATTATATCATAGAAAGATCATGTGTTTTATATGTAAACAGTAGCTGGTAATTATTAGTGCTAATACATGTAGTGGAGTAAAGAGTACAATACATGTTCCAAAATGTAAGTACTATTAAATGGAATTATTTAAAGGGGACCTATCATGCAAAATGCACTTTGTGATGTCTTTTATACATACATATGTGTCCCTGGTGCGTGAGTTACCCACGTTAACTCACGCAGCGTCAGAAAATAAAACCTTCTCTCTTTTCCTCCGTACCCAAATCTTTTAAAAACGGGTGTACAACGAGCGGATACAGATTTCCATCCGAACTGACGTGTCCATCCGAACTGACGTCGGCGGACCCACAGAAAGTTGCTATCAGAAACAATGCCTGACCTGTTTTGGACGTAATCTCGTTTTCGTTTACATTAGCAAGCCTCACTAACACTCGGAGCTAACCTGTACTGTAGAGCAAATGTGCTTAAAAAGCAGGAAATAAAAATAGGAACTCACCTTGTGATAAACCTGCAAGAGAAAAAGCATTTGAGCTCCATACTATTTCAGAAATAATCCTTGATGTGGTTTAAACAGGATGGCGTTTTATCACAGCAGAATTTAACTTTATCTCCGGTAGAATTCTGATCAGGCATTAGCTCCGCCTCCTCTTATTTATCTTTTTCAAGCTAAGGGCCCAACATCTGTGTTTCTCTAACAGGGCTGCAAAAGAGGGGTTTGAGCAATATGAGGCATGGCTACAATGGGTGATCTGTTTGGTATTTTGAAAAAAACACTTCACAGACATGTTTTATATATTGTAGGTATGGCCCTACAATATATTTTTCAAATATAGATAGGTCCACTTTAAAGGGTCAGTTCACCTCTGAACTTCTGTTATGTTTTTCTTCTGCTGACACTGTAATTTAATAGAGGTAAGGAAAGATGTATTTAATGGAAACATGTAAATTATTAGTTTTTCAGAGGTAGCAATCCACAAATCTCACAGTTAACCATTTTTATTTCAGGTATTGTGTGTGCAAAAACAGTTCCACTGTTTCAGATGCTATGTTGAAGGGAAGCTTGTATACCACCATGCATTTTAGGTTAAAGAAATGATTTAATGTCAAAGAATGTGATTGCAGATGGAAAGGGCATCCTTTTGAGGTGAATGGAGAAACTGTCCCTCGAAATGCTTGTGCTCAACCATATTATCAATCCATTGTTTGTGAAGAAAAGGCTCTAATGAACTGCTGTTGAAACACAGACCAATACTGAAGGCATGAATCCACCAGTCCAGAGAACACAGGGGCTGATTATAGATCCTGGCACAGAGTAAAAATAAATACATCAGCTAGTGTTGAGTTTATGTCACAGTGGTAGCATTCCAATTAAAAAGACAAGTGTCAATTTGCACAAAATGGCTGTTTTATAGTATTGAATGGAAATACTCCCACCCCTTCATGCAAAGTTGTAATATAAACATATAATAATGATTCCTTTTACAGAAAAACCCAGTAAATAAAGCGCTTTGTTAATGGGGAGGCAGACTGCAATTAATAAGCTGCCAACGATTCAAGTTTTTCAGTCCTCGCATGAAGAACGAAAAACAAAAAGTACAAAGACCAAAACAATAATTCAGTGCTTATGTTTGTATAATGTTCAAGAAAGAAATATTGCCATCTGCTTCAGTGTAGTTGTTATTCATATCATTTTCTCTGTTTCTTTCATCACACCACTGAAAAGTATGTCTGTGTGTGTCCCTGTGGTGAAGGGGAGGGTGCATTGAAATCATCTGTCTAAACAGTTATGTGTGTGGAGCCCAAACACCTGTTTCTGTCGGTGTGCTGTTTCAACAAAAACGTCAGGGGATAAAGTACCTGTGCTTTTAACCTTCATTTAGTTAGAAAAACATTGTAATACAATATGGACGAGGCATACAGTATAGACTCATGTTCAACAGTAGGAGACCCTTAGTGGGTTGTGGTCAGCATGTACTACTGATAAGACTGCATGTTGATGTAATGTAGAAGTTAAAGCTGTTGCCCACATAGAAGTAATGTGACATGGTGCTAAAATAGTATATGTATGTTGCTGTAGCGCTAGGGCCTGCCTTTATAGCTGAGAGCCTTCACTATAATATGTTGGAAAATCCATAGAATATTGCTGTTTTTTTTCAAAAATGAGCACAAATAAATAATATAAAGTATTAATCCTCCTGTGTTCTTATAAACAACTTTTATTCTATTTTATTATTGAACTTTCTTACATTAACGTCTTTTGGTTCACATACATTTCTGTATTATATATATTTTTTTATTATGTATCTTTTATTATATATCTTTCTCATCTGTTACAATACCCAATTTCCCCCCATAAATAAAGTATTCTGATTCTGATATTCTATTATATAATGAATCATCCATTTTTTCTTCTCATGATCAATGAACCCTAAGACTTTTTGTGTTGTTCTTATATTTACTTTACTTAAAGAAGCCACCTTAAAAGGTTAGCAAATCCCTTAGAGTTAGACCTCTATTCAGTACATTTGACTAAGAAGACAATACATCAAACTGTTTTTAATTCCCGCACCTGGCTGAGTTAGAGAAGAGTTTGAACCCCCGCTGGGCATGCACTCGCTCTTAATATGAAAGCTTTCAGTGCGTGCCTCTTGTTTGCTGAAGTCTCTGTCAGTGCGTCTCAGTAATAATGACAGAGTGGGAGGGCCACTCGGTGCAACTAATAAGGACTGCGATCTAGCTGGCGATCCCACTGTGACTTTTATTTCCAAGTCCTGGAATCCGGAATCACACTGATCGCTATCACACATGGATTATACTCTTTTCGCTCCTTTTTCTTTTTTTCTGCCTTAGAGGAAACTTTCTCACCAACTGTAAGTACTCGTATGTTTATTTCACAGTACATACAAAAAAAAACGGATTAAATATCAGCGTGAAAACCTTTTTATAACGGATTCATTTCGCATCTTTGTCGCTCCGTATTAAAGTGTTTTTTTTTCTCCGCATGGTTTTTTAACTTGTGTGTTGACCGGGACCACCCCCTTATGAACAGGTTATTCAGATTTATGCACGCTCGGCAGCAGTAAGCACGTACCGTATTGTATGACTTGTTAACAGCAGAGTGCGAAATTGTCCGGACACTAAAAGAAAATCCATCATAGCGTAATTATTAAAGTATTAAAAAAAAATAAGCAGCCAATCAGCGGTCGCGCAGTGAAACACGCTTCTTTGAATAATACAAAAGTGACACATTTATGAATAATGGAGTGACAGCTTATAGTAACGTCCCTTTCCACCTTAACTTAAACTGTTAGTTTAATAGTAGCCTACACAATTAAATACACTCTCAATTTAAGATTGAAATCCATGCAGATGGTGCTGTACACTAAAGTGCATGATTTAAAACGACACGTGGTCTTAAATAAAACATAATTTCTTAAAAAAAATATGAATTGACTGCAGATGAGCTGTGTGCATTGAATGTATTTGAAAAAATAACTGGAATCGCATTACTCCTTCACACAGAAAAGGAATGTAATACCTCTGTGTTGCTTGTCTACGGCCCATGCATGGTTGTAGTTGTGAAACGCAAAGTCACTTCATCTCCATGCGCCATGATACTATGGGCCTACATGCAAAACTTTATGATCCAGTGGAAGGAACAAGTGCCTGGAGCAGGATTGGGAATTAATCATTCAGACAAGATTTATGATAGAGGCAGTAAAAAAAGGAGAGTATCATAAAAGGTTTTGGGGACACTTTGAGACACTGCATATAAATTCCCTGAATGTGTTGTGGCTGTTTTCTGGTCTGTGGAGGTCAAGTGCAGTCCTCTGCTCTGTCTTCATTTGTTTTTTTCCTTGTGGGAATATATAAATGTGCATCAGGAAGGAAGGGTTATAGTCTCTGCAACAGAATTAAAGTTGTGATGTCACAAAACTACTTTCCAAGTACTGAAATAATAATGTTAGTCGTTAAATTAATGATTTTTCCCTTTATCTTCTGTTGGATTGACTCACAGATGTGCCCCTTTCTGTTGTTTGAATAGAATAAACACAAAAACAAATAGATTTTCAATCACGCTTTAATGATGTGTAAACCGGTTTCTGTTGAGTTTTTTCCATGTTGTTGTGGTCCCTAAAACTCTAGCGCCTGCAATAAATGTTTTTCTTATGTGTTCTATAATCGACACTTTGCCAGTGCACCAATTTTGGCAGGCAAATCTATTCTGAAGTTTTTGAAAGTGTTTTGTTTGAGCTGGAATAATCTTCTGAAATTGATTGACTATCCTTTTGACCACACTCCTGCTCTCCAGGATGACTTAGCCCTAAACAATAATAATTGCCTTATTTGAGATCGCACAAGTAATGCTGAAGATTTGGTTTGGCACCTCTGTCAAATGGCTTAAGAGAACTACTAAAGATTTCCAGGTTTTGTATTCCCGCTGGTGACGTCCTTGAACAAGACACTGCTGTCAGCTTACAGATCAAAACAAAAGTGTTAAGAGAGTACTACAGAAATACAGATCAAGGCTTTGGCATTATGAAAGAAGACTTGAGGAGCCAGCAAGAATCAAACTTTTCATACATTCTTAGTTCGTGTGAGATTAATGAAGTGAATGAGATAAAGTTAGAGGAAGAAAAACAATGAATCAAAGTCACTTGTTTTATCTTTTTAACATCGATATATTGCATTTAGATTAACACCTTCCATATTCAAATCTCCCCATTTATATTCTGAAGTTAAGTATCAGCGGACTTCCTCTGCTAATTTGTGGTAACGACACACAGGCCTCATGGATTACAAACGGTCTAAGGAAAGCAAAAGGGAGCTTGGCTGCTAGTTACAAACCTAAACATAAACATTGCTTAGTGTATAATGATTTAGATGCAGTATAGTTCATATACCATTCATCACTGTATGGCAGGTGTTCATGAAAACTAATGAAGGAAGGACTCAGAAGTGCATTCTCCAGATTGAGTGGCTTTACATAAACACAAAGAGGCTTTAGGGATTTACAAGTGGGCATAAGCGTGGGCTGTTAAGAGAATTAAAAATGATTTACAGTTAAAACGTATTCTCATAATAGTGCAATTTTCGAAAACTCTTATTTAGTGAATGTATGAATGACATTTGAGGAGAATTAAAGTGTATGGTTGGTTAAAAAATAGATACACATCGGATTGTTTCAGAACTAGACCATGCAATAAGTCCAAGTGTCAGTTAAACCGAGCCAAATAGTAAGTGTATAATAACAATAGTTGGTGCCAAATTGTTTTTTAATGTTTGCTATGAAGTTATATATTAGATATTGTTCAAATATAAATAACAGAACACCATTGATATATTTATTTTTGTAAACGTAAAATAAAAATGTCTATGTTTGTCTCCAGGTTTCCAGGTGGGACTGCTTTCTAGTGTCAGAGCCATGGGTTGCTTGTTAAGATGGACTGCTTTGATTTGGACTGTAAATGTAATTCCTTGCACTTTTGGAATGGCAGTGAGTGAACGAACAGGTATGTGTGTTTTGTTTTCCTCTACTTAGTGCCCGGCAACTTGTGTCTTTCAACTGTGTAACCAGTTATTGTACTCTTAAATGTCCCTATATTAACATAAAGCAGACACCTTGTATCACTATAATATACAAATCTGTAGCGGATGAATAGACGGTCAGACATTTTATGATTGAAAGGCTTTGTTGGCGTTTCTTTTTATCATATATTAAACTGAATAACTTCACAAATTCATATGGAGAGGGTAACATGTCCATGCTATTGTTAAGCTAAGCATAATATTTCAAATTCTCTATATATTAATCTTTTACAAAACATTTTACAACATTTTTGGTTCACCATGTATTTACAGTGCCTTACAACCCTTTGTAATGCCATCATCTGATAGTTGTGTTGTACTTTATGTTGAGAATAGATTGAGAGTGTGAGCTTGAAACAAAACTATTCTTGTAAACATGTTAGTGAAATGTCAGTATTCATGAAGGTACGTCCATTACATTTTCGCTAAAGCGGATCTTGCCTCTAAATTACATCTCAGAGTCCTGTCTCTGTTGGTCACTTTATAAATTCAAACTTTGAATTGATTTCCTGCTCTGATTAGAAGAAGATGAAAGAAAATGCACCATCCACATAAATTCATGATTCAATTGATTGTCTCCTCTTCTATAAAAACGGTGCAAAACTGGTGCAAAACATAAATAAACATTTGTTCCCGGCACAACCAACTTCTTGGTGACTTTCCTGTAGATGACTCATGCCCCCCTCTGAGCGTAGAGGAGCACAGGTTCACTGATGTCTTAGATCGTCCTCTGGACATCACAGGTATGTTCTGGACGATCACAATACATTTTTGTCATAAATGTCAACAGTTTCAATATATTGACACTAAATCTGTTCACAGGATTTGATCTCACGGAAAAGTTTCTTCTCCGAAAGGGAACGATCACAGAAGACCTTCCGTCATATCGTTTAGGAAGCAGTCCTCTCATAAAGCCAACAAAGTGAGTAGCATCCTTGTGTGCTCGTTTTCTGCGTCATTAGGGTTCAGATGTTGTACTCTTGTACCTCATAGAATTTGAGGATAAGTTGGACAGACAGCCTATGTCTTCCATTACCTGATAAATAATCTCCCTGTATCCTGCTTCATTTCTACCACTCTCAAGCTCTTGCTATGGAACAGTAGCCTGATGAGAGAAGGCTAAACGATGCAGTCACTCATGTGAAGCCGAGCCTATTAATGGTATTAAACAGCAGTGTTCATTTTCATTAACACCTAGGGTATTGCTGGTTTTGCTTCCATATGGGCTGGTTTTGAATAAGGAGGTTTTTCATAAACTCATATATTTTAAGACCATATAAGAGAAATGATAGAATAACACTGCTATAATAAGGTGTGCAGATCATAATGAGGCTGATCTGTGGATTTTCTAAGAAACAAACTGTGGCCATTACTGTTTTTCATGACTTGAGGCAACTCGGATACACCCTGCTCAGAGCAAAGGTTCCATTTGCCTTGGCTAATAAGGGCAAGCTGTGAGGTGAGCTGTTAGACAGGGACTAATTTGAACAGAATTCAAATATATTGCGTTTATTCCTCGAAATCTCCTAAGGGCACAATGTGGGACATAAAGGAAAGGGGAAGAAGAAAGCTGGGGCATGTATTGTAATGTATAATAAGATAGGAATAATACAAATATCTACAGAAATGACACACTAAGGTGCCATTTAATGAAGACCTCCCCCTGTCAAGTGGTGGAACAGCATTGTGACTTCACCTTGACTTCACCCTAATATTGATAGTGGGGGATGTTACTTCCATATGATATTTATGATTTTACTTATATACTAGTAACATCAAGAAAGACACGTGGCACATATGAGCCTGTACGCTTTGTCGTTCTTGTCCTAACAGTAATGTTTTGGATCTGGAAACATTTATTCTTAGATGTTTATTGTTTTGTGACCTCAGTGAAAGAGAACACTGTGTCATTCTTCCAGGAGGAGCAGATATTTTGAGCATTTTTACATGACATGCAACTGTAAACATTTACTGCCACTCTCTCTCTCTGGCTAGGTGAAAGAATCTTAGCGCCAGGTGATTTGTGATCCGCTTCCCTGTTCAGTCGGGCAGCCGAGAATACATTTCCTCCAGCCCTTCCCTCAGTCTGCGCTCATAGTGCAAGAAGATGCTGGTTCTCAATGACACTGCTGACAGTGTCATTGGTTATAGTGGCGAGACTGCTATCCCTCTCATATCCAATTATCTAAGTACTTTGACAGGTGATACTGCATGTCAGCTGAGGAAGGAAAGCGAGGGCAATTGCACGGAGCAGGAGGCCCCCTCTGCCCCCCCCCCTCAGACACTAAAACATTGCTCACTTTACTCGCTGGATATGCAGCAATAGATGCTCCGCTCTCTGGATCTGCGTAATGTTCTGCCAGCTTCTTGGCACAGTACGCATTATTGTGCTTGGATCAGAGCTGACACACTCGAGGAACATTTGTGCAGAGTGACAAATTGCCCCTACGAAATGCAACATGTATTCAAAACGAGCTAACACAGAATTGAAGCACAATGCTGCAGTCAGGTCTGTCTTAAGAATGCTAAGAATGCTGTGCCTTTTTCTTTCTTGAAATGTTCAACAAAAAATGATCAATGCGTGGTTTTCTCTTCTTGCAAGCCGCCTCATTGGAACAAAGTTCTTATTGCTGATATTAAAATCCTGGTTTTGCAAAACATTACACAAGCATTAGAGTACAATGCTAACTTTTCCTTATACAAATGTAAAACTACTTGTGGTTTTTGTGAGCTGAACCTTCAAAATGTGAACACCTGTTTGTTATTTTTCAGCCTTTTAAATATCGAATCAAATTGTCAGTATAAATCTCAGCACAAAAGGACCTTTTCCATTTCACTAATACATTCCTCCTTAACAGCCATTGCTCATTGTGAAATGGTAATTGGAATCCCTCGAATGTGACAACAATGTCTCGTTATGTGATTTGTGTGACTGGGATGTCAACTATCATCAAAGCACCTAGTAAGCTAAATGTTTCAATGCGAAAAAGAAAGCTATTTCACATCATATGTAAATGCTGAAGAAACTTTAAAATATGAAAGGACAAGGAAGCCAGGTTTGTTTGTGTTGATTTATCTGGGGCTTCAGTAGATTTTGACTGTTGTCAGCTAATTAATGGTTTTACTGCAATCAATACGGTATACCTGACTCAGCATCTAAATACCTTATATACAGTGCATGCAGGGCCGTCCCTCCCTACAGGCCGATGGGGCCTCACCTTGCAGAGGGGGGCCCTACCTCACGGACATGTCCTCATCTTGTTGAGGGAGCCTCAACGGAGCCGCAAATGTGCGGCGCAATTAGTGTGGCGCGGTATTTACTGTCAATTTCACGTCCAGGGATTTGTGTCCCGGGGTGGGAACAAGGCAGCAAGGAAAATGGCTCGAATAGAAACCTGCAGACTTGAGTGATTTTAATGCTAAAATAATCATACAAAGGCTTAAAGGCAAAACGGAAGTAGCTGACAATCCCCAGGTTAACAGAAGTAGAAGCTAAAAGGGTTCAGGTTGAAGACGCAGGAAAGCAAAGTCATGAAGCAACAGTGACAATCAGGCCAGGAAGAGTTGGAAATGGAATGTTCTGGAGAGTGAAGCATGAGCCTGCGGGGTGTTGGAGACGGGGTCAGCCACTGTGAAAACTTGATTGATAGTCATAGCAACAGTTGTGTTATTGGGGGGATTTTCAACCAGGAACAATTGCCCATTTAAAAAAAACCAATTCCATGTTGATTGGAGTTAACAAATGACTCTGAATTAATGATAGGGCGTGCACTCATCGTGGCAGATGACATTTCAAGATGTTTGTCTGCTATTGGTTGCTTGTTTAGTCTCAGAAGAACACCTATTTAACCTGGAAGGATGATAACATAGCAGTCTAAGCTTCACACATGCACACTCGCTAATAAAATATCTCTCCATTGGTAAGATATCCTTCTATCAGATCACAGGCATGCATTTGATTTGGCTTCATCAGTGGCAGCCTTCTATCCTGCTGGCAAGCATTTCCAGATTTAAACAGGAAAGAGAAGTCCTGCTGAGAGGAGGTTATAGACCTTGCTAGCATGAATGATGCATTTAGCGTATAAACTGTCATGGTTGAGCCCACTTTGATCTGTCAGAGGATTGAGTGTCAGTGATAGTGATGTGAGCCAACTAGGCAAACATTTGATTGTTTCGGCTACAGCATCTGATTCCTCTGACTAATTTGGAGAATCCTCCTAGATAGGATTTCTTACGAGCCGGGACACTAAAGCCGCTTCCGGGAGATTCTCTACCAGACCGGCAGTGTTGCTGTGACATTATGTCAAACTTTTGTCCCTGATTATACAAGGAGTCGTTCAAGCCAAGCAATATGCATGGTCAAAGATGTCTTCAAAGACTAGTGATGGTTTCCAGAAAGCTCCTTTCAAATGGAATACGAATATACAATTTGATAACTCTCAAATTCTGTGATCTTTGTGCTAATCCTGATCGTTGCTATAGTTGTTCAATACTTTACAATGCAGAGTAGTTATGCACACTAGTTGTCACTCAAAATGTCTTATTTTGCAGTACTTCCTGCTGGAGCTGTTTCAACAATTTGAAATTTGAACCAGGTTACTCAACGTTGTACAATCCAACTCTGTAGTATGGAAACTTCTCACTTAAAAAATGTTAAAACGTTATTGAATCTAATTGTGTAGGCAGTTATGTTTTTTTTCTCTCCAAAATATGCCAGTGTGCATTAGTTATATTAATATAACTTTTATGAGACAGGGCTGGCAAAATATGGTGCCATTTACAGTGAAAGTTGCAGCATGAGAGCTTGCAAAATGATCCTTTCCCTTCACTCATCACGTCTTTGAATATGCAGAGTAGCGTTTCTCCCTAGAGTCAGAAAAACGGTGTTGAAATCAACCCACGCTGAGCTCCGGTTTAGCCATTTAGCCACAGATGGCAGTCAACACAAGGTCATGAACTTTACCCCCTGGGCCCACGGAGATCAAGTGTGCCGCACTGTAGACGGGCCGTGTTTTGAAACACGAGCAGACTTAGTTGGGAACTTTGTAAAGAAGCGTGTGAACTCCAGAGCTTGAGCAGAAAACAGCCCTGAATTGTAATTTTGCAGACTTTATATGTTATATTAAAAATGCTTAAATGTATTATGTTCCATAAGCTGCAGGTGCAAGTGCTTTAGGAGTTCTATTTTACCCTTTGCCTTGTGGAAACTCTCTACATAATAATGTGTTATACATTTAGTAAAAGCAGTTGATTTACAAGCAGCATGGAAATATTCAGTGTTGAATTTATTTTATGAATCCTCATTTTTATAAATTGCCCTGCCACTTTCCATATTGATTTGCAGCTGAAATAGTCCTTTAGCCCTCAGGCAACAAATAACCTTCCCAGCCCTTGGCCTCTCAAAGAGGCATTTCTTTTCGGGAGCTTTAACTTGGTGTATTTATCATTTTAGTCATGTACCGTTTACACCGAAATCTCAAAGAATTCAGGGGACACAATAGGAGAGGGTATGAAGCTCTGAGAGAATGGGAGATGATATATTGGAGTGAAAACTAATTTCCAACCTGTCTGAAGAAACTCTCTCCCTCCTCCCTCGGGCTGTGCTCTGCCTTTTCAATGACCTTATCATTGCATTATTATTATTTTTGCTGATCTTGATTTATTATGTTTATGCTCTTCCACTTTTGACTGTTAATCTGAATCTGGAGTTAGGACAAGGGTTAGGGTATTTTGAAGGGTACAGTGTTTTTGTTCTCTTATGCTATGTATAAAATTAATAAGGAAATGGGGGTGTGGACTGAGAGATGAGATAGTAAATAAGCTACAATTCATTTGAGAGCGTGTCTGATTTGAAATATGATATTGTCTTTCTATATTTTCCCTCTTTTTTCTCTGCATAGTTTGCTTCTGTTGGAGCACATTTTCTGTTGTGAATACAGAATTGTTACTTGACTTTACGGAGCAGCTGAGGTCATACACATAAACCTGTAACTGCGTTGCATCTATAACCCGATATCTTTAGCACGCCATATCTCCGTGAGGTAAAAGATTGGATTCTTAGAGTTTGGATCAATTTCAACATGTTTTCATTATCTGAGAGAAAGGGAAGCCTGTATGCGATTCATCAAGCTAAATGGAATCAAGTTTGTCAGGTTTATTTATGTGAGGGGCTCTGCAGCTGGAGGATATTGAAATGTTTTATTGATCATTGAAATTGATTGGCTGGTTCATTGTTCAGCCCCTGAAAGCTTTAAGGCTCACATTACACATTAAGAAATTACACTGTTACCTTTTATTTCTATATTGTTTTAATATTTACATTCAGTCAAAATCTGACTTTGTTATCTCTTATTTTTTTAGAGAAATATTTCCAAATGGGCTTTCAAGTGAATACTCCCTTGTCACCATCTTCCGTGTAAGAAGAACCACAAAAAAAGATCGCTGGTATCTATGGCAGATATTCGACCAATCAGGAGACAGTCAGGTGAGCCTCACTGTATTTTAAATGACACATATGCATTTCAGTGTCTACAAATACGCTCCGATGTGACATTCTACATGTTTATTGGCAATAAGAACCCTGTTTTTAAACACTTCTCTGCTCCTCAGGTATCTGTGGTGGTCGATGGTGGCAAGAAGGCGGTGGAGTTTTTTTCCCGGGGCGAGCTAAAGAACGCTCTCCGCTACACGTTTAAGAGCCGTGACCTACATGCCCTTTTTGATCGCCAGTGGCACAAGCTGGGCATTTCTGTCCAGAGCAACATAGTCTCCATTTATTTGGACTGCAAGCTAATAGAAAGGAGGCTGACGGATGAGAAAGACATTGTTGACTTCCGTGGGCGCACTCTCATCACCACCCGAGTGGAGGATGGACGACCTATAGACGTATGTCCCACGCAAACTCTGTGAAGCATTTTAGCTAGTCAACAGTGTCTTTTAAGGATGTACCATTTTTGTATGCAGTTGTTTTATTACCTCTCTCCACTGATAGTGAATTATCCTCAGTGTTTTTCAAAATGCACACCAATGATTTCCAAAAGTATTTAAGACATGCCTCAGGGGAGACTTCTTAATCTCTGTAAATCCTTTATTGTGTCATTTGTGTTGCGCACATTCTCAGATATGGCCCTAAAGTGCTAGAGAACATGAGGTCAGCTATGGCATTTGGTCACCCAGCGCCTCTGCGTAGAACTTGGCTTAAGTAGCATTAACAGCTGACTTTTTGGGCCATGTGATTTGGGTAGATGTAAAGCAGTGCATTGGAAAAAAATGGCAGGGTTCAAGTTCTGCTCTGAAGCAGCTGCAATTCATGCAGAAGTTGAAGCCTTTTAAAAAAAAACGTTAAGGGAAATGTTATGGAGTTTTCAAGTTACAGCAGCTGGCAGTTGAGCAAATAGTGATGTCTTAACCCATGAAGCGCATGTTCGAAATATAGGCATAATGTGATAATGACACTACTGTATGATACTGTAATGGTTACTTGATGAGATTTTTTTCCCCACAGATTGAACTGAGACAAATTCTCATCTACTGTGACCCTTATATGGCCGAGATGGAAAATTGCTGTGAGCTACAGGAGCCAAAGGTAAAATGCTATGATATTTCACCAAACTAATAATACCGACTGATTACTTTATTAATTTGACAGAATAAGAAGTATGAGGAGTAATAAACAAGTAATACAGATTATATATAATGGATTTGTGAGACATGGAACTCTAGTAGGTGACCTATTCAAGCACATTTACCAATTGTATTGATGGCACTAGCTTGTATGTTAACCTATGCAGTGTGATCAGCCAATAAAGGTGAACATTTTTTGTCTTGTGTATGAAAGGAAAACAAAGCTCTTCCACCACCATCTAATCAATAAGAGCTAATGTTACAGGGATTCCAAATGGAGAGATGACCTTTGACCCCGTACCATTACATGTCTCCATAAGCATGCTGTCATGTCAGTGTAAGGTTACTTCGAGGGAATATACACAACCTTGACAAGGACTTATCACAGCTTGTCTGCTTAGTACTTTTTGAATTTCACTTTTATAAATGCTTTTAGCAGCTTGATGTAAATGAATTCCACCTACAACTCTGGTTGCCTTGGATTGATAAGGCTGTTTTACTGTGGATTTTGGAGGGTTTGTTGCCTTGTTCTGTAGCAAACAGTACAAAGGAAGGTGTTTAAATGGTGAAAATTCTTTATTGATCCAGAGTGAAGCCAACCAGACCTTTAATGGGACGGCCCCTCCCCCGGTTGCAGCCAAGCTCCCCCAGATGCTGTCTCTGCCTGCCGCGAAGTCAATTGACAGATGTCACTGTCCAGCTGAAAAGGTACAATCAATTCCAGCCAACAAGGGCCTCTAATTGAGTACGTGTAATGCCTATTGTTACTGAACCAGCACTGATTTACACTGCATGTTGGCATTTAACTGCCATTTAAAGGAGATTTGTACCAGAACATATCTTCTTTGAAAGCCAAAAAAGGAAGTATAGCCACGATCTATTAGCATACACAGTTAACCTGCTCCCAAACTGTTCATACATTGTCAATCTGGAACCTGCTATAAATGTGTGGAAATGCAAAAATATTATTTCTCCTGCCAAAATGAATGTTAGATTAAAATGCAAATTGAGACCTTACGGCTTCAAGCCCTCTTTGGAAGGGAGCAGATGGTACAGCTCCAAGGTGAAGTCCAATTCCACAAACAGTCTTTTAAAATTTACAGAATCAACTTTTCATAGAATCAACTTTCTAGATAAGAACAGTATTTTGTTATAATGCAGAAATGTATTTGAGATATTACATAAAGCTCAATAACACTTTGACTACATTACTTTACCGATGGATAATATTTTTTTCCAGTTAAAACTTATTTATTGCTGGGTCTAGAACAATTTATTCAGAAATCAAAAGACTTAATTGGTTTAGAATACTGTATTTTTCTTTCCTTTGTGATCAACTTTTTTATAGTTGTTTTGCTTCAGATATAAAAAAGCACACATAAAACAACAGCAATACACCACAAACAAAGACATGTGCTTTATTGTCAAGGATTAAAGTATAGGTGATTTATGTTCTCCTACAAAATGTAGCACCATCCAATTCCTGTTTGATAAAGAGAGATCTAAGAACACAAGACCCATTTTCTCATTGATTATACTTATTGTTGTTTATCATAAACACAGGGAGATAGTCTTCCAGGTGTAGTTGGACTTTCAAGAAATAAAGGGGTTAAAGGAAACAAGGAAAGGACTATGTTAGGCTGTTACATGCTGTTGTATACAAATGTACCTTTTTCTTTGTATAATTTAAAGGAAACATGCTGGGACTAAGTGCAATATGTTCACTGCAGTGTAGATTTAAGTATGGAGGCAGCGTCCACAATTTACTGTAACTCATACATAATTCAGAAGCATTCATTGAATCACGGAGAGAATTATCACTGGGTCACTGTGCTTTTTCTCGTGATGTACTTTTGTTCTCAAATGATAGTCTGTTGCCGGTTTTCTCTGTGTATAGAATCACTGGTATTTCAGGACAGTTGCAAGGTCTAAATGTGAAGAAAAGAGCAAGTCCCTGCGGGGGGAATTTATGCTTTGGCAGAAATTCATCGTCAAAGGAAGAGGAATACATCTTTCTCTCAGGAAGCAAATTTCCTTGCTGTAGTGTCTGACAAAGGTTCATGTTCAGCTGTCACAGGCCTTCAGAAAGGCTCCCCTACATTTGTCCAATCACTAGAAAAATAGGTAGTGGGAAGCATCCGTAACAGCTCAATGCCCGGTCACTGAAAGTTGAGGGTGTTGGTTAGAGGACAAGGAGAAATTAATGAGCAAATGCCCAGACAAAAAGTGCAGTTTTTCCCTAGACAAATCACACCGTTGAGAGAATGAAATCCCCTTTTTTGCTGTCGGCACAAGGAACAACGGGACAATGCGTTATGAATGAATTCATATAAACAGGTGGTGCTACTGGCCAGATGGCTCTTGGGGTCAGTGTCTTAATTACCATGATGTGGCTGCGGGATTAAGATATGCAGGATGACTTTTGTTCCTGGAAAACCACTCATTCCTGGAAGGCACAAATGCGACATTTATATTAGTGTAAAATCATTATACCTGTGGAGTTCAGCACAGGAATTTTGAATTGGGGGCATTTTCTGCGTAATTAACACGGTGAAATGTTCTTCCTGTTAAAATGGCATTGTGTTTAAAGCTGTTTCACCTGCAGACTGCACTCACCAGGTGCCTCTGGCCTGAATACTTAAGATTAGCTTGACATTTTAAATAGCTGTTTTGTCTTCATTTGTGTCGAATGTAGCAAGAATTATAGATAGATTCACGTTTGCCTTTAGCCGACACGTGTAACTGGGAATAATGAGCGCTACCATCATTGTCATTTGGTTCCTAGAGATAAATGGATATAGAGCTTTTAAACACTTGTAGCTTTTTAGCTGATTTTAAGTATTTTTTAGGTTTGTTTTCAAATAATTTAGATCGATAGATAGATAGATAGATACTTTATAAATCCCAAATTGGGAAATTACAGGACCAGTGTGCTCAACATTAAAATACCAATACTTAAACAGTGGAAAAAAGTTAATAATTCAAAATAAAATGAAAATGAAAAATAGTATATCAAATATAAACAATATACAACATTTTGGATAATTTAAATGTTCTTTAAAAAAGATAAAAAATACTGTAGCAGGAACATAGGTTTATAATATGTATATGTATATAATATAATATATGTAATATGTAATATGATATAATATAATATACTAATATACAGTACATATGATAGTATACATATGGTTAGGTGGCAATTCTGCACTTCTTCCATTTTTCTAGTTATGAATAAAGATGTGTATATAGCAACAGTTTGTACCACTCAAATGTGTAAATGCGTTATAATTGGCCTCTAATGAACACTAATTGACCTAGCAGGGATCAGCTTTCGGCTGCCATGTGTCTGTGTGTGTGTGCACTGTGTGTGTGTTGGCGGTTCTTGTGATTAATGACTTGCTGCTCAGTGAAATTACTGGTTTCTGTGGGTAGTTCCTTTAGATTTCACATGATATATTCCCAGAGGTAGTTTTGAAGCGAAGCCTAAGAGCACATCCAAAGAGACCCTTAGTGCACCTCTGTCGTGTTACAGTGCTAAACAATGATTTAAAGATGATTTTCAGGCGGCTGTTCCATTATTTCTGCAGGCCTTGTGCTATGAGTCAGTGGCTCACACTGTTAACACCTGAAATCTAATTCCAGGTCTTCAACAAATCAATACTTGGCACCGCTTGTTTACTTACTGAACAACGAAATTCATAACAAATCCTATTACAGACTTGATCTCTAAATCAATAAAGTTAAATGAAAAACTTGATTAGGGACTTCACATTCATTCAACTCTAACTGGCACATGTCACTTCACAACACCTCATCGTTGTGTTTACTCCAAAAAAGGTCCTCATATTTTATTTATGATATATTTTATTTATGTATTTTAAAAGTTGTTCTTTGGATTAATGGCATGCTTAAGTATATCTGACTTGTCTGTCAGAAGGCTGATACATCTAAAGGATGAACTGAAATGTAACCAAAATCAACATTAATTCTGAATAAGGCTCGTAATATGATGATATTGTTGATGACGCTTTACAGTCTGACATTTTCTTGCATCATAGCAGCTCCATTTGGGACAACAAGGCTTAAAGTCTGATACGCTGAATGTCAAGTTATTACGTTTTTCTTTCTTCGTCTGTATCCATCTTTACCTGAATTATGAAAGAAAGGGTTCATATTTAATTACCGGTAACATTTATTTTGTCGTATGTGACACATCTCTAATCTACTACCGATGGGTTCCTGCCACATCAGAGGTGTTGTTCATTTCAACCTCCTTTCCTCCTAATCCCCTTGTTCATCTCCCTCATCTCCTTTCCCTCGCATGGAGTTATCAATTGTTGTTGAAACAAGAGAGCTAAAGACCTTCGCAGTGTGGTAAAATAACACATGTAATCGCAGGTTTAATGTTGATTTAATAAATCTCAGGAGCTGTGACATTTGTTGAAATGATGAGTCAAATCCATAAATGTACAGGCATAACAGTGGCGTGCCATCATGGTTATCTTTTAATCATTTTCCCGATTCAGCGTTACAATGAGTTCACACAGAATAAGCTGTTAAGTGGCTATGGTGACACACCAATTTCATCATAAATACCTAGAAATCAATCATCTTGGTTCAACATGATAATGCAGTAAGATACATTTGATGATGCAGGCATAGCTGGATATGATATGGAGTCAAACAAGTATATGCTAAAAGTAAGCATTTTGACCATGTTGAAGAACACAAAAATGGTTAATCATGGAGTGGAAATGTTTGTCATGTCTTGTGGGATTTGCAGATGTTCATGTTCCACTATAGAAAACAGTAGAAAAGGAGTTTATTTCCAGCCATCTGGGCGGTATATCAGGAACGCCATGCTTTGACAAGATCGCGCGTGGTAATAGCTTTCTCTCTTTTACCCTCTGACCTTGCTGCACATTAATCTGTCTGGTAAATTATGGTCGCAGTGGCCCTCTGATTAAGCATATTTCATTCTTATTGATCCTTACATTTCCTAGGGAGTTCCAGTGACTCTTAAACGGTGCTGCAGCTTTCAGATTTACATTGAAAGGGGCTAAGAAAGTCATAGCAAATGCTGTTAATAAGGTAAGCTCATGAGACTTTCAATTACCAACATGCAAATCTCATTTTGTAAAAAGATTAAAAAGTAGTCAGAGGATACTTCTAACAATTAAGATTGACTTTGTAGAGATTCATCAAAGACATCTGGGCAATTTAGAGCATTTCAAAACACCCATTATGAGAAATGCAGGCTAATCAGCATGACCTACACAGAGGATTTTTTTTAAGGAAAATGAGCAGGGATTACTTTGTGTTACTCCAACAGAAAGTACTATCCCGCATTACAGTCAGGAGTTTGATGGTGGATTGTAGTGCAGTGCAGAGGGATTAAACTGCTATGATTAATCCAGAATCCCTCAGGAAATTAAACAGATAAGGATTGGGTTATAAGAATGCAGTTTACTTGAAAGGAAATCCATTTTCTATGGCCCTGCACATAAAACCTGGTATTACTAGATTTACAGCTCCTGCATGTACATGCTAAAGGAAAAAACACACAGGCATAATGTTGAAATTAAAACTTCTTCCCCTTTTACAATACCTTTAAATTGTTTTGCACCGTTTACAACTCTCCTGCCCTTATGGCTTGTGTTTTCAATTAGTGCCCTCTAATTCAATTTATACCCCATTGTACCAAAGTGAGTAATTCTAGGAATTCTATTCAAGGCACTTTATTATTTTTCGCTGACGCCGTATTTCGATTAGCTGTCAAAATCCTCCATTGTTTCTTTTGTGAGCATCGGTTTTAAAATGTTATTAGCTTCAGCTCTTTCTAAAGCAGGGGTTTGAGTTAGTGGTTGAATAGAATACATGTAAATGTAAGAGCACTGAATTGTGAGCACTGTAAATCACATATAGCCCACTACATTTTATAGGAGATGTATCTGTATAATAAATGACATCAGCAGCTGTCTCGCACAAAAGGAATAATCTTCTAATTGCTAGGAATGGAACGTTTTACATCTTGCCACATGCTAAATATCGAGTCAATGAACGGCATTTTCGCAGAACTAGTTTTTAATTTACATGTATTTGTTCTAGGATAATGGGTCTGTAACCCGTGGTTTAAAGAGAGCTTCTGAGTTGTTTGGTTTAGCCACATTTTGTTGTTCTTCCTAAACACGCCTATTGAGTTCTAACAAACAGGGCTTCTAATGAAGATTTGACTGAATGGGCATCACATTTAATTAGATTCTTAGCTTGCAGCAAGTTCTGTGTGAGCTTAATTTGTCCAGTAATCATCTACCTCCATCTTCTCTCTCTTAACAATATTGTAGACAATCAGTTTCCTTTTCTGAATGACGTTATAACCCTAAGACAATCAAGCTTTTCGTACTTTCTTGCCTTGTTTTTCCCTTTTTTTTCTAAATATAACTATTAAAATAACTCAATGATTTTTTAACAAGCTTTAGATTTGGGCTTTCCAGTTGTTGGGAAATAGTATCCTGATCTGCAGCTGCTGAGCACTGTGTCAACATCAACTTGTGGAACAGCTGTAGGAGCGATATCGCTGCTGAAATGACAAACCGTCATAAAGCTATTCACTAATGTGTCAACGAGAGACCTTTCACTAACTCTGATGTGTGTTGTTGTCGTCACAGGGGGACACAGGGGAGGCCGGGCTTTCAGGAGATCCAGGACATGAGGTAGGCTGCTGACTAATGAAACTACTTAAAACCCTTAGTGTGGCTTTTCCCTTAAAGCTGTGATTAAAGTTTCCATTTACATACACTCAGTTGGTAGCTTCAGGTTTTTTGTTTTCCCCCTGGCCTGAATACATTCAGCTTTAGTTTCAAATAGATTTTCTCTTTTGACTGCATGCGTTTTGTTTGCAGTGAATAGCATCTGGCACGTTTTTTATTTAGTGATTTATGGAATATGTCAGTGGCCATCTCTGAGATTATTTTCTAACATCATTGGATTGAATCACTGGCTGGCTCTATGTTGACTCCAGTCACAGCAACGCAGAAAACAAAGCAATCTCAAAATCAAATTAAGCCAGCAAGTGGGTTCATGTTGGCACAGTGCGTATGGTGCTGCTACAGAGACGCTCAGTCCCAAGCAGCGGATTGGCTGGGCGCCCCATTGCACACAGGTGGCTGCATACTGGGTGGGAAGCCAGTGGCGGGGGGGGGGGCTGTTGTGTCCTTGTCGCTGTAGTAGCAACTTCTACTAGAGGGTCGGGTGCTGTGAACTGTGTGGATCTCTGTGTCTCCCTCTTTGTGAAGCTCTTCCCTGATAGGTGGAAAACAAATGGCTCGCATAACTTAATGCCTATTTAAGGGAACTGTCTCCAACCAAGATGACAGACATTACTGTTGAGTCTGACATTTAAATTGGGAGAAAAGTGCATAATTTCATGGAATTTTAAAGAGTGGCTAAGTGCCTTTTTTTTGTAATTGGACAGTGCTGTGACAATCCTGAATAGCTGAGAAAATTGGCAAATTGTACATGCTCTTAGTAAAATTACATTCTATTATCACTTTTTGTTGCCTGCTTATTGCGTTTTATGTCATTAGTCAAATTGTTGACCATCAAATGTGGCATCTTGGATTCATGTGTTTATCTCCTTTAGTCACCAGGATGCAGTGCTTTGCACACCGCCAGTATGCGGGTGATTGTTCCATATCTGAAAATGTCCTGTAACACCTCTGGGCTTGTGATTCTACTCTCAGCAGGAGCAAGAAATACATAGCAAGAAAACATTAATAACCACAAGATATTGAATTGCATTCAAGTGATCAATTGTTCTGCGGATCATTGTGGAAGCACTCTGTGCATCTGCAGAAAATAGGATTCTCCCAAGATGTGGAAGGACACTTAATCCTGGCCCTATATCTACAGAAGATGCTAAGCTCACTGTGGGGGGATACTTGCTGCCAGCTCTCTCTCCTTGTGCTTTCTAAGATGAGGTTTGGGAGCCAGCTAAAGCACTTTCGTTACACAACGCTGCACAAGAAAAAGTCCACATTAAAAGCACCACCAGTAGCATTGATATACAGTAGGTGCTAATACTCATTGTGTTAAAATGTTTTAAACCAAAGCTCAATCTTTCAATGAAGCTGTTTCCTTGCGCTTTCATATCTCTTTCTTCTTTTTTTAGCCACATTGTGAGAACAACAATTTCATGCAGCTGTCGATATGATACGAGCAATGATATGGTTGCCCTTGGACACAGGACTATATTATGGCAGTTTGCTTGAGCTTTACGGGCCAGCTGAGGTCATGAAAGTGTATAGGTTACACTTTCATAACAGAGCCAACAAGCTCCAAGACATCTCATACATTTCTGGCAGAGTGTTTGGAAAGTAAGGGCTTGGTAGCTTAAGAAGAATCAGTGATCAGGAAGATATTTGTAGAGCCTCTAAGATGTTATATTTGTGAGAATAAGCCTCAAACAGCTTATTCCCCGTATAATCTTACACATGCTGTAGACTTTGCTGGAGCTGAAATGACGCAGTGAGCTCACTAAGAAACAGTATCGCTGGGAATTGGGTATCTGCTTCCCAAATGTGTTTTTGTATCAGTGTCATTGTGGTGCAAGCTTGCGGCTTCCCGCTTAACTCAGTTTGAATGTTCCTTAATGGGGGGGGGGATTCAACTTTGTTCCAACAATGAGGACAGGACAAAAAGTTCTGGATAATCTCAACCCCTTCAGCATAGTTTGATTTACAGGAATAGTTGCGTTTTAGAAAGGATTTCTATTTGTTACGTCACGCGACCATGGCAACATGTGTCTGTGGGACACAATGTTGCCTTGGTGAGGACACATTCTTCTCACCACAATAACTCAAGAGAAATACATGGTAGAAAATATAATATAAACCCTAAAGAGTCCTTCCTGCTTGGATTTTTAGTTTGGAGGCCTTCAGATCTTACATTTGCATGTTGATGAGGACAAAATGTTTAATTGAAAGTCCTTAATGCTTGTAGGCAAGGGCGCCGGAAGCGGGGGGGCTAGGGGGGCATTGGCCCCCCCACTTTTCAGCCCTGCCCCACATTTTTGCAGCAGCAGATGCCGCGGAAAACTGTACAAATCCCTTTTCAATAATTCCCCTAAAGTCGCATCTAAAACGCGATCTGATATAGCTGTGTATATTTTGTTATTTTTGATTGTTATATTCAATCTCACTAGCTACAGGCATGTTTGAAGCTTGTAAAGGGAAGATGACAGCTCTCACTCGCCACTCTGCTGTTCCTCAGCGCCGCTCCCCCTCCCTCCCGCTGAAATTATGAATGTAAGGTGTATAGTAATCTAGATAACACGGCAGGGTCCGTTACAGTTTGTTTTTATCTGATTTCAAATACCTAAGCAAATTCTTGGCTTTCAGAATATTAAACTTGTTTTGGCAAATTCAGATGATGAATAGGCCTACACATTTGAAGCTTGTAACGGCATAATTACAAGCGGAGAACGGAGTAATTTAACGTCACTGCAGGCATAACAACAGCCAGTGTTTCTCGTGAGTGTTTTCCCCGGGAAACAAACACAATACACACAAACGCAAAAATACACAAACACACTCGTATATACACGCGGCGCGGAACACTGTACAAATCCCGTTTCAATAATTCCCCTCTACTCTAAAGTCGCATCTAAAACGCGATCTGATCTAGCTGTGTATATTTTNCACATCGCCTTTCTCTTAATAGACTGGCGCTTTTCCTTCTCCTTTTCAAGTGAACTGGTAATGACCGTGATTTTCCTTTTGTAGTGAGCTTTTTGCCTAATCTATCACGGCCCATCTTCCTATACACTACGCTACCGTCTCCCTTTACCAATTGAACTGCGCTAATGTGATATTCTGCTAGCGCAGGCACTTTTTGCTAAGCAGCACACAACGTCAGAGCTCATTGCGCAGGGCACCCAGCAGAACTGCAGATCAAGCCGCTCTGTGAACGCTACGCGCTGTCGATTGATTCATGACTAATGTCTTTCTGGCAGATTGTTTGTTGACTGTATGCTTGGTAAACTGCGAAAATGAACTGGCATATCACCCACGCCACCCCTGGTCCTGGTCTGAACCTCTCCACCCACTGTAATCCTATATACTCATGCCTCAGCACTTCTCTAGCGGCGTAAATACACGAAAGTTGGGCCGATGCCTCTTTGAATGCACATTAAATGATCTGGGACTTTATATTTACCAAATTCCGACACACTCTCTTGTTTTGTAGAACCATATCTGTCATAATTTGAGTAATTGGTCGATAATATCCTGAGGTACAAACTTGTTTGAGTCCTACTTCATTATGGCCACCCCTTTCTTTTCTACAATACCACATCATATTACTATTGAAAGAGCCATGGGGGTACACTACTGAAGGATTTGATGGGAAAACCCAACTCTGCATTGCCGATGCCTATATTCTTTCTTTATTTGTCCATCCAAACCCCACGCCCCTGAAAACTTAGAAATACCCAGCACTCCTGTAGTAATTTTTTTGTGATCATTTCCCTTCCCCACTTCCTTTTAACTGACCCACATATAAGCAAGAGCAATGTTCCTCTTCTTAGCTCCAAGGAGCCTACCTGCTTCAACTCAAGCCAAATCTGCAATAGTAACGGCAGGGGTTACACTTAAATTGCAGCCTGATAAGCAAACCGTTAACGCTTATATGTAACCTATCAAATCTTAGTAATGACCGTTTGCGGCTGCTGCATATATAAAAAACACCCATAAACCAGTGTGCCTCATAATTGGCCGATAGAGTCGATAATGCCTGTTGCTGCCCCCAGCACAATCCAGCCACTGCTCTAATCAGGTTCAACCACTTTTTGGATTTTTTGTTGCCAAAGTTTAATATATCCGCTTCATGAACATTACATCCAACCATAAGCCCCAGATAATTTAAATTTCATCTGACCTCACTCATCGGCTTCCATACCCCATGAAAAGATTCTCAAGTCTCCATCTTGCTTTATTCGTGTAAATTTCATGAAGCAAGGATTTGCTTGCTGACAGCTGTGAACCGTGTATGACCACTTCTCCACTCTTCTTTATAGCTTTCCCTATATTTTCCAACACATATGGAACATTTTCTTCCCCGTATCCATATGCGCACGTCATCTGCATAATAGTGCGCACAGATTTTATGCATCCATCCAAATTACTAAAAATGTCATTTATCATAACATTAAATAATATCGGGCTGATTGAACTCCCTTGAGGAATACCATTTTCTATACTGCACTCTTTTGAAACCTCTGCCCCTACTTTAACTCTGAATGTTCTGTCTGATAAAAAGCCATGATCCAGTTATACATTCTCCCTCCAACACCCATTCTACTCAATTTGATGAGCAACCCATCCCTCCACATAGAATCATAAGCCTTTTCAATATCAAAATATACTATTGCCATAACCTCTTTCATTTTCACTGTCTTTTCCACCTCATTGCCTACTCTAATCAAAGCATCTATTGTGGATCTTCCTTTACGAAAACCACTCTGAAAACCGGATTCATTTTAGAAGTGGGGGAGCCAAAAAAAGTGCGTGTGTGTATGGCCCAATCCCAAACCACGCCTTACACCCTACCCCTACACACTCCCCCTCCGTGACGGAGTGAACTCCGTGGAGTGAGGCTCCCTCCTGTCAGATGGAGGGAGTAAATACAGCACAAGCTTTGGGACAAACTCCCCTCTCTCCGGCAGAAACAGGAAATACCGTAATATGTAGGCCTAACAACGGTTTCAAATCAGCATCTCTTTGACAAAAAATGCAAATGAATAACTCCAATAAAACTCCAAACATCTTTAATTGTGTTACTTTTTTGTAAAGCTCTTTTAGTTTTAAACCTGATGTTTATAAGCTTCTTAGTTTTTGCAACAGTCTGTAAATATACACAACTTTATAATAAAATGCACACATTTACCTTTTTCTAGACTAAACACACAGGTATGATCCTAAGTTAAAAACATATGAGGTTATCATGAGCTCGTTAACATCGCAATTTATCACTACTATCGTTTAGTGGTTTTGCAAAGAATTAACCACTCTCTGTTTTTGTACCATTCTGCGTTGAAGTACCTTCTCTTTGCCCAAATAATCTACTAGCGGTCTCCTTTTTTCCGATAGTTAGCTGTACAGCTTTACCCGCCTCAATGTCCCGACAACAAACCTCCATGCAGTCGGAACCAGCCTGTTTCGGTTCAACAACGGCGGCGGTGGGGGCGGCGGCGGTTTTGACAGTTTCTGCGGCCGCAGAGCTGCTGCTGGGTTCATCTGGCTTCGCTGTTTGAAGAAGGTCCAGGCTCCGGAGATGTGGATGTCAGGGATGTGACTTCCAGTTGTTACATTTAAGTTTAGATTGACTGTATTTAGTTTTCTTCTGCGCCGGTTCTTCTGACATGTTTGCAAGTGTAGGCTATATATTCTTTCTATCTAGGTTAACGGCTGACACACAGAACAATGTAACACATAAAGTAAACAACGTAACAAATAAACAAATCTAAGCTTTTGTATTGGTTGTAATTTACATGGATACATTTGAATGGTGTGACAATGTCCTATTTGATTGGGTTAAAATGTACATATTCTTCCTGTTATGTCTGCCTGCTTTATTTTACCTAATGCAAAGTGACCTGCTCCATCGAAATCAGTCGCATTGACCCGAAGACACATTTTGATTCCTACTGTAGCTTTCTAATGATATCAGGATTGTTTTTGTAGGCTACTCCAAATATTAAGCAAAATATGTCACATTATATATTATATGAAGAGTCATCATTTTGAGAAAAAGGCCTTTAAAGTTTTCTCTTCTCTGGAATCCATCGATCTGATTGATTATTAGCGTAGCAAATGATCAAAATACTACGGAGGGAAGATATTTTGGATTACTGCACTCATGCACCGGCTGTTGTTCCTGTAGTGACATTAAGTTACTCCGTTCTCCGCTTGTTATGCCGTTACAAGCCTCAAACCTGAAGGTAGGGATATAGGTGTCCTTGTATATGCGGCACGAAGGGGCGACGTCATTCGCGCTCGGGTTTAGACGGAAAGTAAAAAGAGAGAGTTGAATTAGTATTAAATTGTAGAGAGAAGGTGAAACAGTTGAATGTAGGTAAAATAAAAATTCTGTAATGCTAATCCATAGATCAATTTATGTTAATTTTAAAGGGGAAAAAATAAATGTCTATATTTATAATTTGAATTAAAATTTATTAGTATATGGTATGATAGTTTAGTTAGTTGTATATAATTTTTTATTATAAGTGAAATAATGATGTATAATACACGACTAAATTGAATTGTAAGTAGATACAAAAAGGAAGTAATTATGGTGGAATTGAATAACAATACGTCTAGTAACGAATATTGTCATAAAAACAATAAATTGTTATAAAAAGTTGTATGAGAGTTAAATAGTTGGTTGAAGTTATTTGAAGTATGATTAATCATTAAATGTGTGAATATCGGTTTAGTATTATGAAAGAGGAAGGGAAAGTTAATATTATTAAAAAAAGTTGATCAATGGGTATTTACGTTCATAGATTGAAAAAATTATGTTAAAGAATTTTGTAGAGAAGAAAATCTGGAGTGTAAAATATAAGAAAGTTTAATAAGAAGTAAGGTGAGATATTTATTGGGTTTTATGGTAATTTTTGAGGTTTAAGTTTGTAAGAAGTGAAAATTAATACAAATTTTTGAAGTTTGAAAAAAGTGTGAGATTAAAAGTAAAATGAATAATAATAACAATAAAAAAATGTGTTGTTAAGTGTGAAAATAGATACAGAAAAAAGTTTAAAATTTTTAAAACATGAAACTTAAATTTGTATATGGAGTAAATGCTTATATGTTGGTTTATAATAATAAATTAGTTTATTTTTTAAAGGGTGAATAGTTAAGTGTAATTGAATGAAGATTGGGTTGTATGATTGTTATAATAAAGTCGTAGTGTTTTGAATAATAGTTTGTGGAATGGGTGGTTGTAGAATTTATGTACTACGTTAAATTGTATTAAAAATATGAGAAATAAAGAATAGTGTTTGTTAGAAATATATTTGATTGAAAAGTTTAAAATTTAATGATATGTATGTTAATTGTTGTTTGGAAGTTGAGGTAGGTAGTTGTAGAAAAATTTTGGTAAACATTTGATATTGTGAAGAAAAGTAAGATATTAGAAGAATATAGAGAGTGGGTAAGTAGTGATTAGAAAAAGAATGTGAGGATGTAAAGGTAACGGACTATTTTTGGAAAATAGAAAGATTAACATTAGGTATATTAAGAGTTTAAGGCGAAGTGAGGTAATAAAAATAGAAAAATGAAATTTAGTAATATGTAAAAGAAGGAAAAGAAAAAAAGTTTGATTACTTATATAGTATGTGAATGCTACATAATTTTCTTGTCAGAACTGGCTTTATCGAAGTATTTCATTACCAAAAAAACTAGAGGTCATTATACCTCTTAAGCAGAATTTGAGAAATATATGGTATATAAGTTTAATTTATTGATGTTGGAAATAAATATGTAAATTTGGATTTTATTTTGTGTAGACAAAGGTGTTAAGGAAGTGTGTGTGGTGTGGAGTGTTTTTATGTAATGTAGAGAGAATTTTAATGGTTTAGTAAAGTTTAAGTGATAAATAAGAATGTTATAGAGGTTTGCACTGACGGCGAAATGAAATTGATATGACTGGAAATTGTAAAACTTGGTAGTGAGATAGGTGTTAGAATTATTGTGAGTAGTCTAGCCCTACTCATAGATGGGGTCTTCTTATTCTTTTTTGAATTTCCAGGAAAAAAGTACTACAGAAAATCCGAGTGAATATTGTTGAATATATTTTATATAATTATCTTTATAGTAATACTGTGAATATATTTACCTGTCAGAACATTGTGTCAGGATGTTTTTTGTTGTTTGGTTTTTTTGAAAATATAAAATGTATGTAAAATTGTATTAAGAATTTAGTAAAAGAAATTATAAATTTAGGATAAGGGAATAGGAAATNTAAATACAGCACAAGCTTTGGGACAAACTCCTCTCTCTCCGGCAGAAACAGGAAATACCGTAATATGTAGGCCTAACAACGGTTTCAAATCAGCATCTCTTTGAAGAGATGCTGATTTGAAACCGTTGTTAGGCCTACATATTACGGTATTTCCTGTTTCTGCCGGAGAGAGAGGAGTTTGTCCCAAAGCTTGTGCTGTATTTACTCCCTCCATCTTACAGGAGGGAGCCTCATGTGTCACTCCACAGAGTTCACTGTGTGTACACACACGCACTTTTTTTGGCCCCCCCACTTCTAAAATGAATCCGGCGCGCCTGCTTGTAGGGATTTCATAAAAAGAGATATTGGATATGTTAAGAGATATGGTAACATTTAGGGATGTCACAAGATGCTTCTGTACTAAATCCATGCAAACATTTTGAAGACAATGATGACACTTGTTCTTCTATAATACAGGCACTCAGCGTGCCGTTTCCCTCATAGAACATTTTGAACAACAACACTGTGTTGAAATTAGCAGGAAGATGGCTAGTAACATTAGCTTTTAGCAGCCGGTAGGTAGCACAGTTCCACTTGGCTGAATAATGGAGCTAACAAGAGTTATATTGAGTTATAATGCATTCTAGCTCTATTCAGTAAAAGCTAGTATTTGGGGGAGGAAAATTATATTGTTTTCAAGATAGTACTTGAGGTGGGATCAATAACACATTAGCCAATATGTAAATAAACAATGTTAAACACATTTGGATGTATTGTTTTACTGTTGTCTTTTTTACCTTGTTATCAAATACAATATTTGTAGACAATTCACTAGTAATGGGAGGGACTTCAGAATATCTGTATATTGACATTGCTAATATCTTTTGGTATAAATCTTTGGGAATTCATTTGTTATTTAGATTATATAAAGGATATATTTTTTTTTATGGATAAGAAGCTTTTTGTAGTCACCATGTTCCTCCTTGATTTTGCTTCAGAATGTATAGATAGTTTCTGTTGATGGAACAGCGCAATAATTATTTGGACCTATATGGTGTAAAAGTCGGGGGAAAAGATTAAAGTATAAACTTTGCAAGGGTCCTTTCTTTGCCTTTTAACTTTCAATCTTGTCATTGCAGGGGGAACTTGGATCAGAAGGGCAAAAGGGAATCGATGGGGAGAAGGTAAGTACTACTATCTCCAGCAGACATATATTCCATACATAGCACATCAGCCAGATCTAGTTTCGTCAGGGAATCAATTCTTATAGGCTTTTCATTTTCTGTATGGTGCCCCGTGGGGAGGAACGAAGCACTGTTTCCTCTGTGGCTGTTTTCAGGTGCCTGTCATATCTGAAGGGCGTCTAAGTGTTTTTGACTCTGCAATGTCCTTCTGTAGTGAAATTAATTGATATGTATGCTACCATTGGCTCGGCATACTAATGGACTAAACTCATTTTTCAAATGACCATAGCCCCGTCTATGTCATTTCAGGTTAAACTTTATGGCATGCTGTTAAACCTGGCTGCAGTGATGAAACTAATGTATGTCTTGTGACCCACAACCAGCATGCCAGTAAATCCTAGTCCTTTTTCTTTAATGAATAACTTATTTTTGGAACTTGGTGAATTTAGCCTGCACATTCCTCCTAAAACTATTGGTTGAATCAAAGCGTGTGTTATGTTGCACTGCATTTGTTTGCCCACAATGGCACACTTTCAGTTGATGGCAGCTGTGCAGATGGTCAGTTAAAGTGGTTTAATAAAGGGACTACTTTTCATCACTGTCCCCCCCTTGAGTAGTCAAACAGCTGCCACAGAAATCACCCTCCCTGCAGGCTGTGGACGTGCACACTGCCCTAACAGTAATTCTGAGAAATATCGGAAAAGAAAACCAGAAATAAACATAAAAAAGATAAAGCTGAATTCTCATTGAGCTACAGGGTGCTGGAAGTTGAAGTACTTGGTAATTCTAAACTGTTTTGTAAATGTCGCAAGGTAGCTTGTTTTAAATGTATCTAAAGTACGGTTACAAAAGCACAGAGAGGTTATAAAAGAACATGTTGATAAAGAATGAGTATTTGTACACAGACTGCTGCTATAGGAATATAAATGGAGTTCTTACACATAGTACACATATGCTGGTTGAATATAACAATATACAAAAACACATTAGCAGAATTTGAAATACTGACTCTATCTTAGTGAGCTTCCTGCAACAAGAATAAGCTTTATGTTGTGTTAATAGTGCTGCTGGTGATTACTTGAAACGAAAGAAAAGCAACCTACTGTTAATGTACTCAATTGAAACAGAAAAGGAGCTGCTCTGACAGGATAGATTGTGTACTGCTTGCTTTCAATCCATCAGTTTTTCCTGCAAAACAGCTAGCTTGGATAACAGTAATTGTCAGTGTGCAATAATTCAAGTACATGTCAGGATGAATCAAAAAGAAGTACAAATAGGTTACAAACACAAGCTTTGGTTGTGAACCAACAACCAGAGTTGCTCACTCTCACTGTTTCAAGGTAAGTAGCAATTGGCAGCCTGAAAAGCCAGTTGACGTCATGGCTGTATTTGCATATGAATGACATGATCAAGTTTATTTACAGTACATAGACATTTTAAAGGGGGGGAGACCGCCAAACTAGAAATTAACTCGATCCGCGTCAAAGACTGACTGATTTGTTGCCTTTTAGTTTTGTATAAGTATAATGGAGGAATGGGATAATGCATTCTTTTCTACTGGGGCTGCAGCAATCAAGAGGAAAGGGTGACAGAGCTGGTGAGCAGCCCTTCTTTCTTCGCTCACTGGTTCACCCTGCTCCACTTGACTGGAGCTTGTTTTCCTTTCCAAGAAAAGCAGCTGCTCAAAACTGGGTGTAGCTGTCACCAGTTGATGTCATTTTGTGATTTGCATATCAGTGCAATATTAGCTGTTTTGAGAAGGCAGGGGTCTACTATGTGTATGTACAAATCAAAGTCAGCCACAAAGTTGTATAAATATCTTTGTTACCAAAGACGTCATAAAAGAGTGATTCAAGAGTGTAGTGAGTTGCTAAGTTGGCAGCGTTGGACCCAGGGTCTACTCCCCCTCGCTGTATGTGTGTGTGTTTGTGTGTGTCATCATCAATAGCGTTGGTTTGTCTGAAAATGTATCTCCAGAATTGTATTCCTATATGTGAGTCTTGAGTCAACGATTCGAAAATATGGGAATAACATATTTTTTGCATCCCAAATGAGCATTTATGTTTTCTATGGTCACACTCACATATCTCTCCATGCATGCCCTCAGTGTTGTGTAATACTTTACCCCAATTGAGTGATTTGGAACAAAGAAAAGTCAATCATTGTATTTTTATTTTGCTTCTAGCAGTCGTGTTTGTCCGGCACTACAGACAAATAGTTATGGATAATAATGTTTGGCTCTGGGCTTGTTCAAACTAGCGTAGCAACAAGACAGGCAGTCTAGCTAAATCAAAAGTAAAAAAGATGTGCTTCAAACCCGCTGCGTATTGTCAGCTAGCAAGCCATTGCTTAAAACATACAAGAGCAATGGGTGGTGTGGACCTGTTTTCATACTGGAGGCCCAGAGATTACATTGACATATCTCCTCTCATCGCAAAATACGATTCTAACAGAGGCTGACGAGAGCAGGGGGAGTAAACAACAACAACAACAACAACAATGAGTTGATGTACTCTGAAATGCACTGTGGAGCTCATGGGAAATCAGAGTAGGCATTTATGTCTCCCTGAGCTACTACTTTCACATACAATTAGGCTTTGCTCCATTGTAAACCTAGGAATATTCATTCTAGTTGCCTTCAAGTGAAGAAATGTCCACCCAAAATTCCACACAATTTGGCCATTTATCACAATTGATTCAATGGATTACATGTTCCATGTAAGAACCCTTCTAGTAATTCAGTGGAAACTAAGACATTCTAAGATTTAACACAGTCTCCCTACCCATGAAATTACAGCATAATTCAAGCTGTGATGGGATGTTCATTATTAGTCTTTTCCACAGCAGTGTTGTAGTCAGTGATTTATTTGATATCCTGACATAACCCTTGTATTTGATTTAGATTAATAAGAAGGCAGGACAGTGGAATACAATATATGAGGTAACCTAGCCCCAAGAATCATCATTGAGCATAGAGCAGTACAGGATTAATGGGTTAAAACCAGTATCCCCAGTGACTGTAAGTGGATGAGCCTCACCGACTTAATAAAGCAGCCCCTTCTTAACCAGTTAGTCGCTTAGTAATCTGTTCGAAAAGAGTTAAAAGTACATAAGACATTTTCTGCTGCACCTAGACTGTAGATGTTAACATTATAAATGTGGATTGGGTGGTCATACCTGTATATATAATACATTATATCAATACTACCTCATATGAGTACACTGTATCTGCCACCAAGTGGTGGTTGACTGAGTGGTTTCAGTTTAAGAAAAAGCTTTGCTAGTGAATTGAAAACTGCTCCGTCACTTTTAATGTTCCCATATGCTCATAATGTTCATAAAGAAATGCTCATAACATATAATTCAACTCTAACTGCAGTTGTAATGCTCCTTGTGTTTATTTAGATGGTGAAAACGGTGGGGCTGGAAGCAGTTAGTAAGACTATAATAAATGATTAAATCTTTAATAACAAATACATTGTAAACTGTTATGTTGCACAAATAGATAAGCTTGTTGATTTCAGTCACACTATGCACTGGGAGACTCTATTACCGATCTGTCCCTTTACTGCAATTAGCTCATATTCCATTTTTAAAGCAAGTATGTTATTTACGGCGCGAGTAGACACCTGAGAAGCCAGAATTCTATGTATGAGCATGTGATCTGGTATCGTTTTGCAGATACACGTCCTGTGGGACAGACGGAGTGCACACCGTGTTATCTTGTGGGTAATCCCAGTTACATTTGTGGATACATGTTCAGTTGAAGAGTGTGGATGAAAAAGTCAAAACAGGATATCCTCTGCACTCTGACAGTGAACACTGATCCCCTCGCTAATGGACCTTTGTTTAGGTCAAACTGTATTTGATCATAGAGTGGAATAGATATGCTAATAAGCTAACCTTTTAGCACTCAATATGATTAGTCTTATATCCCTATACTGTATGTGGTGGTGTATCGCTGAGCAAATGGAAAGTCACAAAAGGCATTTCCTGCGTAACCTCCCTGGCATTTGTAGGCCGGCACTCAAGATATCTCTGTTACTTACAGATCCTGTTCCATAGAGCTTTAACAGCCTGTCATTCACTATTACAACATTTCCCCACCAGAATGTTCTGATACACAGTGAAGCTACAATCATGTTATAATGTAGCCTCTCTTTATGAGGCTGAACCTATTGTGTGATGATTAAAGTGTTTACATTAACTCAAACATGCAATTATTCAGTCAGACGAGGGCTGTGACCTGCAACCGCTCTGATAGGTAAAAGGTAGAAGTAAACATAATTAAACTGCCTTTGTATAACCCCGCTTCTTGCTTGCTTTAGTTGTCATGTGCTGGGGAGTTGCCAGATTGTCTTGTGGCCCCACAGCTACGGCAGTGGGGAGACACAGTGGTGTGTGTAATTAGCAGGCGAGTGTACACAGCTCCCCACAGTGTCCTGACCTCGTGCTGCAGGAGCGACAGCCAGCACTGGCCCATTCCCAGCCCCTTCATCCCCCCTTCATACTGCCCTGAACATGCAACAAAGCCCACAGCTTACAGCAAAAAAGCTAACAATACATCCGGACCGTCTTGTCTACATCTCCCTCTGTGACACTGTGCTCTGGAATTAAACCTGTGGGCTCAAGGCTGAGTCCATTAGACAGAGGGCAGCACTGTAACTAGGTTTTGGTGTGGAAGATAGGATGATTAAAAAAAGGAAAGGAATCCGTTTTCCCTGAAGGGTTATTTATGTTTTCTCTCACCGAGATGGGATTTTTTTGACAATCATCAAAATACATTATAATTGCATAATTTGATGTTAGTTGAGGTAAGTTGGGACGATTTAAACTGCTTTGCTAAGATCCACACGTCCGTTATAGCTTTTCTAACAGCTATATGTATACGTTTCAATTTAAGGAATCCTTTCTTCTTGACTTTAAGGCAGTCACAAAGTAAACAAAATGTAACTTAAGTCAAGGTAGGTAATATCAGATAAATAGTCTGGTACAAGTAA